CCCCTCTATTTATTTATTTTTTAATCTTTCTTGGCCTTCAGACAACAATTCTAATGGCTAAAGATCCAAACGGGACAGGCAAAAAAAAAAAAAAAAGAATATTATTTTGTGTTGACCTTTGGTTAACCAGGAAGTGACTGATGATTTTTACTGCTTCCCAATTGTTACGTTTTTGTTGTTGTTGTTGTTTTCAAAATCATAAAGTAAACACCAAGTACTGCATATAACAGTTAGTTGTTAAGTTTTTTGGTGCCTAGTAACTAATCACATGCAGGCATTTCAGATATGTGGTCAGTCTTGTTGTAATCAGCTGGCTACATTAGGCACACCTGCCCTCACAACTGAACATTGCACAGTGGATATTGACTTTCTAAACCTCCCTGTGTCGTCACTTTCACACACACTGAGCAGATGTTTCTACTGGAATCTGAGTTGGCAACTGTGAGCGTGATCATAAATTTATACGTGCTATTTATAGTGTGCGAGAGACAAATGCAATATTAATGCCCGTGCTTCTGCAATGACAGGGTGACTGCTGCTAACACAGTTGATAGGGACATGTAGCACACAGCTAACAGCGAGTTTCTTGGGGCTGAAAACAAAAATGTTTAGTCATCGCCACCATATTTTATGACAGATTATGTAGTTAAATGTGTCAAAATACCCCGACCTTGTTTCTTTTATTAACATTTACATCACACATGGTGATTCTGAGAGGGCCCTCAGGCCTTAACCTTTTGCCTCCCTCATTTTGCTTGCTCGTAACCTCTGCAGCAGTTGGAGCCTGTTCTACTGTTACATCACCCATAATAACAGCTTGAAGTCCATGCCGGGCCTAAATTTAGAGTCTCAGGTGAAAGTGGAGCAGCCTGTTAGACAGAAAGTGGCCAGAGCAGCCAGCAGTGTGACATCCTTTCTCTAGCATGATGGGCTTCCTGGGGCTTCTTTGCATTTCCTCCCGATGAAAGGAGCTGAATAAAATGCCTGAACAGGAACCTTCTAGCTGATATCATTTTTCACCTACCATGTCTTTAAATGCTGAATGCTGTTGAAAAAATGCATAGTCCCCTGAAGTTTGGGCATAATATTTTGCTCTAGCCCCACTGGCCTTTAAACAAGAGTAACTAGTCAGACAGAAACTGCAAAACCCAATGACCTTGCTCCTGTAGCACTAACCCTAGATTCTGTAAAAAGGCAAAACTTAGGGTTAGGGTTAGGTCTAAGCCATGAGTGAGGATGATTTAGACTCAGTGCCATACTGCACTGAAATGTACATACCACATTTGTGTCTCACAGAGGATGGGACTTTTCCACGCTGATGTCTTCAAGTTGTCCTTGATCTACCCATTGCCAAACTCTTTAACCCAGTGTCATTAAAAGAAAGCATACTTGAAAGACTTTGCTAATACAGTTTTGACCCATCGGGCCCTGGCATGGGACCTCTGGAGGAATCCTGTGGTGTCTTGTTTCATGACACTGGCAGCAGATCCGATGGATCACGCAGATGTTCAGTTGGATGGGATCTGGGGAGTTTGGTAGCCCCGTCTGAGGTTTGGGCTCTTTGTCTTTGCCATTCCTGAGCAGTTTTTGTTTTGTGTTTGAGAGCAGCTGCTGCTGTCAACGAATACTGTTGTCATGGGGGCGTGCTTCGTGTGCAATAAGGCTTAGGTGTCTGGTAACATTTATACGAATGCCAGGATTGTAACAGGATAATTAGCGTAATTTCACCTGCGGTTCTCTTGTTGTGGTTGATTGGCTTATATTTTCAAACAAAGGATGCAAGGAGATGAACCATAGGGTTGTAGGTTGGTCCACCACTTTGATCCAGACTGAAGCAGATCAACTATCCCTCCTAGATGGAAAATCGTGATAATCTAGCACCACCACATGGCTGAGATTCAAGATTTCCAAGAATGATCTTCATGAATCAGACAATTCCTTGACATTTGTGATTTTGAAAGAAATTTCTATCAGATTTGGTGCAGACACCCACCGTTAGTCATCCCCTGACTTTTAACCATACAGCACTGAAGTGGCTGTAGACGGGATTTTCTTTGAAACCCAGTCATTGTATTTGTTGTGTCTGCTTTTTCTCAAATCACTCTAATCAAATCTCAAATCACGGTGTGATTACAGTCATTTACAAGCAGGAAGCAGTTAACACCAACTGTCACAAGAATGAAAAGTCTAGCTTAGTTTTGTCAGATCACCTAAAACCTTCTAATTTTGTGTGTAATGTTGGGGATATACATCATATGCGCCTGAGGAGAGAGCTGACTGAAGAACCATCCAAGTCTGGCAGTGCAGCAGCTGCTCTAGAGCCCTCTACAGTTTGAATCCAGCACTCACAAGAGATTCTTTCAAATCACTTTCTAAATGACGTGTTTCAGAAGCACCGAGGATCAGTCACAGAATGAAAAATAGACACACAGATATGGTGACATCTAGCTACAGAGGTTAAATCTGTTGTATTCCTGTTAGTTTATGCTTCAGGATACGCATTTTTAAAAAAGGTGGGTTTTAGAAGCTATTTATACAACACTATTGTCAAGGAAACATCCACTTTCTGAACTACTTGCCCAGTTTACGTTGAAGGGGATGGAGCAATTTGGGTGGACTACCTACCAGGCTACCCAGATAGGTAGGTATAAAGCTAAAAGTTGTGGATAAAAGAACTTTTAAAAAAAGACGCGCCTGGTTAAAACTAGGATTAGCTACATGTTAAGAATGAAAAATGAGTGACATATAAAAAAAAAACCCTGCTAGATAAAACTGATTTATAAATTATTATCTGAAATAAATATTGTTCAGTTGTTAGATGTAATGGGAAAAAATGACTGAAGTAGATAAACGTACAAACACGCACATATTTTTAGAACCTTTAGGTTAAAAAAATAAATCACTGAAATTTTTGTTATATACATTATACACAAACTAAAACTAATGTAAAATGATTACTCAAAATAGAGGTTAAAACAAATGTATAAAATGATTAGGTACAAGTAAGTTATGGATTATAAAATGGATTATATGGATTATTTAAAAAAGTAATAATCTGATTTAATTCATAAGTGGAAAAATAAACTAGCAATAGCACTTTATTTTTTGCTAAAAGTAAATGGTGCAAATATTTTTGTTAAAAGTAACTAAACTAAGTAATTAAAGTGACTAAAATAATAGTGCTTGCTATATAGTTATAGCATATAAAATTAATCAATAAATTGTCAAACTAATAAGCTAAACATAATGAAGAGATTGTTGAAACTGCTAACAGTAAGAACATGTCCAAACACTGCCACAAGGTAGTATTTAATAAAAGACAAGTGGCATGTAGCATTCATTATTCAATTTTCTTATCCGAGTGACTGGGTGTGGTGTGGGTCATATAAGCCTTGACTGTCAGCTTCCAACAGCACCTTTTTATTTGTCTTTTATAGATCTGCCTGCTGAAACATGAAACCTCAAGAGGGCAGCAACTTCCAGCTAATCTGACAATACATCACTCGTGCTAAAATAATTTCCATATTTACACAGGTGATGGAAGTGCTATAAAGGAAAAATATGTCAATAGTTTAACTTTCCAGTAATTATGTTTGAAGACAGTGTTCTCCAGAGGGAGTGTTTTGGCCGTCGTGTCAGTGGCTCCCTCTTCTACATCTGCAGCCTAATCGGCGTCCTCTAGCTTCCTCTGCCTTCCTGTGGAAACTGGAAACTGCCAGCATTCTGTTGTCGGAGCAAGATTACTGCCCGCAGAGTGGGACCTGGGGAACAAACGTCAATGAAATATTATGGACTTCCTCTTCGACTGTAGAGACAGTTGTTATAAATAGCTAGGATTATTTTCAGACAACACTTGTGAGATTTACTCAGCCCTGGTCTGATCTGGTCTGGGCCGAGCCTCCGCGTGGGATCTGGTTACAGGACTTGGCCTGCAGTGCCCAAATGCCCTTGATCCATGCAGCTGTAAATACTGTACGTTTACACATGTGTACACAACAACTTGCAGTGTCACAAGTAGGACTGAATGCAGGAAATGCATAAAGTAATATAAAGTCCCATTATATAAAAAAATCACAAATATAATAGATGTGATTCAGTTGCTAATGAAAAGAAAATGAAGACTAACAATGATGAGAAATGTAACCAGTGACAATAAAAAGGTGTAAGTTGAGAGACAACACATGAAAAGGTGCTGGGGGGATGTTTGAGCATGGTGAAGAAATATCATGGTTATGGGCCATAAAAAGGGGAATGTGAACAACATCAAAGGAATCTGAACAATAAATATTATTAAAGATTATATTTAACCTGCCATGCCAATGGAATCAAAGATGTGTAAGACTTTGGTATTTTTATATTTAGAATTTTTTGAAAACTCCAAACTACAAGAAAATCATAACCACCACCATCAACAAACATGGTCAAAGTCATCCAAGGATACTCTTGGATACTCCTCGGATCCAAGGATACTTGCAGGAGTACTATAAATTATTTCAAAACACATTTATTTCATATAAAAGCAGATATGTGATGCAATACATCTTCCCCAAAACTGAAATGTCATTTTTCAGGTTCAGAATTGTTACTTTAAAAAAAGTTAAACATTGTAACAAAGTTCCTTTTAGCTAACAGATAGTAGATGTTATTTGTATCCATTATGTTTCGCTATTGCTTTATACATAATACTAAAACTTTTGCTTCCTTTAATAAACTTATTTATAGCTAACCGTATCAAAAGGTTGTGTTTCACATATTTAGCTCAGAGGCTTTAACACAGTTTTGAAGCTTTTATGTTAATGAAATGAATGAATGAATTTTATAACATACAAAAAAGCCAGTAAAAAAGTAATATTAAATATTTTGCATAGCCTAACACAAACTTAAGCCCACTCATCAAATTCATTTTAACTTAACTCATCACTTAACTTATCACTAAATTAAAAGGATGCAGATTATTGGTTTTATCACAGCTGTAGGTGGGCTGAGTCAGAAGTCTTGGCCTGGAAAATCCCAATATTATACTCTTCGAGAGGAGTCACCTTTGTCATATGATGACTTACCTTCAGACTGTTGTAGCAAAGGAATCACACAGTGACACAAACACTACACACATATGTATAAAAAAGATAATACATCATTAATGTAAGACGGAAAAAGTGGCTTTGTATCCGTCTTACCTTTCAGTAATCACTGAGACACTTCTCCGTGGCAATGGAAAGGAAAGCAAGGAAGTTTAGTCTCCACAGTGAGAAAACGGATATGATGATTTAAGCAGGATATGAAAAAAATATGAAAACAAATAATTACAACCCTTTTGAGACCTAGACTTACAGTAACAGGTTTTTTAACTGCCGTGTCCTCATCGGTGAAGATCTAATTACAGTTGATGGAATGACAGGGATTAGTGTGTTATTCTACAGTTCTTACTTTACTACCAATAATCTGCATTTGTGGCCACGGTGCTCTGTCTTTTCCATTTTATTTTCTTTTTTAACAGTGTGTTTTCCTTGGAAGTCAATCACTTTGAAAGTATGTGCTCTTATTTTAAAATAGAACTGGGCAGAGACGTCTCAACTCCAAGATTGTGTGTAGGAATGTTCGTGTGCGTGTGTGTGCGTGTGTGTATCAAGGCTACAGATTTCCTGTTGATGCCAAGCTGTCAGAAATGCCTCCAGCTAGGGTCAGAGGTCAAAGGATGTGTGTCTCTGTCACTTCCCCTCTCTTAACACCAATGTGCGATGCCCCTTTGCAAAACACAGGACATACAAATCCTGTGTGAGGCTCATGCTGAAAGATATCCCTTTTTATGCTACTGCTCATTAATTATGTATCAAAAAAAAACTTTTATGGTGCAGGACTAAGAGAGATAAAAGCTGAATACTCTCAAGACAGACCCCTCTATGTGCTCTAAAGCTATCTTTTCTGTGGCTTGGCCATTCACCACACATATTATGATGTGCCCAAGTAACTGGATGTGACCTGTGGTGATAACAGTGAACCAACAGGGTGTGAGGGGTCTGGAGTCATCAGACAGTTTAGGAAGATTATGCGAATGATGCATGTTTATCTATCAGATTGAAGCTGTTTATATGCTTCTGTCTCACATGCACCAATGCTCGACTCCAGTGTCAAACATTACCCCTTTACCCCTGGAAGCAATCCTGAGGAAGTGCACCACTATGAGAGCACAAGTCCCTTATTTGTTTTTAGAAAGCCAGCGATGCAAACGCCTGCCACTTGTGTGCACTGTATATCCTTAGAGAAGCACAAGTAGGTTCCGTCATGCACACGCTCAAACAAAAATGCATCTCTCTCACACATACGTACACACTAAATCATCTGGGTGGGTGTTGTAAATGTCTGAAGCAGGATGCTGTTTCTAGAAGGAAACCATGTTTAGACCAACCCTGTATGTGTGTATGTGTGTGTGCATGCAATGATTAGTTATGTAACAGGAGCCAAAACCATAGGTAGCCATTTTGGGGTAAAATGTAGTTCATTTAAAATAAGAATTATAGCAAAAATAATGTTAACTTAAATCAATGAAGAAACAATCACATGTTGAGGTTGCAACACCTTACAAAGTATCAAGTATTGGCTAGATGGTAAAAATAGACAGCTCGTTTGTTATTGATGAGTAGTAAAAACGCCAGAAGTAGTGAACAATTGAAATTTTGGGGCATATTTAGTGCATAAATATATCCAGCTAAGTATAAAATAGCTTAAAGTAATCGACAACCTGCTCCTAGCTAGCTAGATTGGTGAAATATTAGCTAAAAGCAATGGTTTCGTTGGCAGGCAAAAGCTAATTAAGCTAATTACGCTAAGTTACCTCATTGCAAAAGGTAAAAGGTTAAATACCAGTAACAGAAAGGTTAAGAAAATGTTAGCTAAAAGTAGCTTTTATTTAGCTAAAAGAGAGAGAGGTTAAATCCTAGCTAAAAGTAAAAGGTAAATTACTGATAGTGTTCAAATAAATGCTAAAAGAAGATAAATGGTAAAAAAGAGCAACATTTTTTAAACTAAAATGAAAAGATAAGTGAAAAGTTTAAACGGTTCAAATCATATAATATGTTAAATAAATAGTTTACTAGCTAGCTAAAATTAGGTCTAAACAATAGGTGAAATATAGTTCCGTTAAGGTAAGAAATTATAAAAAGACAAGCCAAATATATTGTATAAAATAATGATTAAATAGTTTAAATATAAGTGGTGTATAAATCATAGTGAAAGTAGATAATTTGATGACGCATCTCTGAATTCTGTCACTCCAAGTAATATCCTACAAGTGGAAACTTTGACCTGAATGGAAAAACAAAGAACAATTTCTGTCTTTTTAAATTAATGGCATTAAATAGTCTAACGTGTAAAATCTGCTTAAAATAGCAGGTTAAAGACAAGAGATAGGGCATTTCTGACTGAGGCAAAAAAATGTTAAAAACCACTGATCTAGACTTTTATTAGCTAGACTTATGCATAGTTTATTTTATTGAAGATACGAATTGGTTTACCACTTGCTACGAGAGCACTTTTTTTTTTTTATCGAACTAAAGACACATACTCACATGCACTTGTAAAACAAAAGACACATATCCTCTGTAAGTGGCATCCATCTTGAGTCAGGCTACGTACTATATCCTTCCCGTGAATTCAGCCAGAGAGGCAACATCCTCTGGCTGCATGAGAGGAAGCTCGCCTCACTGTGACTCTCCGCTCTGCAACAGGTAACACCCCAACCTCAAATCTCTGTACCAATGCTTGTAAACTACTATCACTACTGTATGTCTACTGATCCTCATGCCATGAAATAACATTTCTCTATCAGGTAAGGGCTCCCACTGAAAGATACTGCATGTGGTTTCTTTTCATTCAGAGATTTGTGATCTTGCATGCATTTCAAATGAACCTACTATCTCTGATACCTGCATTTTAACTTCTCTTGGGATTATCTTCTACGCACGTTCTCTTTCTGCTTAATCTTAGGAGTTGCAATTCTTTGGGGAGGAACAAGAAACACACACACAAAACAGGATCACTTTAACAGAAGCTAAAGGAATAAAGAAAAAAATGATGGAACTGAAGATCCAGCTGATCCCGACAGGGGAAATCATCCTTTCTCCAGGGAAGAACGGAGAAAACCACTGCCACAACTGCAAGGTCAGTTTGCATACACACTGTGACCATGGCTGAGGCCAGCTCTGGAGTCAGATTTTTCCACTCATCTTTCATTCCAGAGGTTTTATGCGGCTTAGTGGGTAGACATAGGTGCTGACACAGCTGAGGTTATAGGGTTCATCTCCCACAGGGTTGACATTGAGAAACTTTTACATAATTTAAGAACTGTAAATTGCTTCAGAATCTGCTGTCTGTGGTGATAAATCAAATGATCTGTGGTTAGTAAATGCATTTAAATCTTGCTTGGCCCTGAGCAGCGCTCTCCGAATTATAAAACGCATTACTCAGAGGTAATTATGCATGTCAAACCAGGCTGCCTCTGTAATTTCTGGACACGTTAGAGACATCTGTACTGTGTTACAGAACAAGACTCATGATGCTAAGTGTTAATTAGAGTGAATAAGAACCCTCTTTAAAGAAGTCACGGTGCTTTAAGTAGCAATTTGACATTCATAGTGTCTTCCCTAAAACGTTCTTTGGTGATACAAAGGGCATTTTTGGATATTTTCAGTAAATACCAGCACAGTTATAATATTGTAGGAGTGTGCAACATTGAGTGTAAAAGGTTTAGTGTCAGCCCTCACATAATTAATTATAGAGAGGATGTTGTGAGTCAAGTAACCTCACTGCATATGATGCATTTGAAAGCTGCTACATCCAATGTTTATATGCTAACAGTAAATTGATTATAGAGCGGCTTATAGAGAATTTTCACCAGACTCCCAGTTCCCTTCAGCTCTGTACAGAATTCTTACCCTGTTTTGGTTTGAAGGCCAAATGTTTAATGTTCTCCCGTTGTGCTGCTCGAAAAGTCCAAAAGCAAAGTTACCAACTAGCTGGTGAGCACAGGCAGGTATTTCCAAGTAAAGGTGGGTGAGCACCCACAGCAGGGCTAAAACAAAGGCAAATATTGAACTTGTTTTTATAAGGTGGTACAAAACCATCCCCAACTTAATAATGACACTGGGTCATATCGTAGTATCTGGAGGAAGTGGAAATAAAGGCGCTTGGCTCTTTTAAAGGGACAGTACCTAACCACTGGTACAGATATGTTGATGACACCTGGGTCAAAACCAAAATCCAAGAAGTAGAATCCTTCACTGCTCACATCAACTCTGTGTATAAAAACATAAAGTTCACCAGGGAAGACACAAAAGATAACAGTTTGCCATTCCTGGGCTGTGCCGTGCGCATCAAAGAGAATGCGAACCTCAACTAGTTTTAGCAGAAGCCCACACACATGGACCAGTACCTCCTCTTTGACTCCCACTACCATCTGGAACTCAAACTTGGAGTAATCAGGACCCTACAACACTGGGCAGAAAATGTTCCCTCTTAGCACAAAGGGAAAAAGAGAGAACACACACATGTAAAGGAAGCTCTTAAAACATGTTGTTATCCTAATTGGGCTTTCATCAAGTCAGCAAAGATGCACAGAAAAGAAGATCAAACACAAACTAGGGAGGATCCGAAAGACAAATGCAACAACATTGTCATCCCCTATGTAGCCGGTTTATCAAAAAACTCAGGAGAGTCTTCTCCAAGCACGACATCTGAGTGTACTTCAGACCCAGCCACACACTCAGACAAAAACTGGTTTATCCTAAAGACAAAACTCCTAAATACAAAATTAACAACGTAGTTTATGCTGTACAGCACAGCGGGGAATGCTCAGACCTCTACATTGGAGAGACCAAACAGTCACTTCATAAACGCATGGCACAACATAGAAGAGCCACCTCCACGGGACAAGACTCGGTGGTCCATCTGCATCTAAAGGACAAAGGTCACTCTTTCCAGGATGCCACTATTCACATTTTGGACAGAGAAGAGAGATGGTTTGAAAGAGGAGTGAAAGAAGCTATGTCCACTGTGAATGACCATCTTTGAACAGAGGCTGTCCTGGCTTACAACACCAACTGTCTGCCATCTATAATCCAGTTTTGAGATTCCTTCTCAGATGCCTTAACGCCCACTCACATCCTGGGCCATCTGACCTCAATAAGTCACATGATAGGATGGGGCTAGGTTTCACCTGAAATCTTGGCTGATTGTGACCCACACCCGTTTTCACACCTTGGCTCGTGTGATTAGGTAGAGGATCAATAGGGGGTCCATGAGCCTCTTGGGGCTCTTAGAACTGAAGAAGCTTCTTGGATGAGAGGTGACACATCTTCAAGAAACTCAAAGAAGTCCAGACGCTTTTCTTTCCAGGCTTCTTAGACTACAATAAAATGAATGACTGAGAATCTTCAAAGACATTTTCCTAAAAACAACAGTACAGTAAAGTACAAATAAAATAAAGTACAGTAATGTAAAAAAACCAAAACCAAAAAAAACAAAACGTATATATATACAATCTGAACTAAGGCATAAAATGAAATATCCTGTCTTCTTGGAAAGCTTTCTTACATTAGTAGGAGACAAAAAAGAGTTTTTACAATATCATATCCTTTGGATGAGGTAGATTTGGTGTGTCTGTGGATATGTGTTCATGTGTAAGTGTTTTTGTGCATGTCTGTGCGTTTAAGTGTGCCTGAAAGCCTTTAAAGGACCATATGACAGGAAAGCGAGTGTATCAGCATTCTCTCAGATTTGGCCTGTGCTTTGATGCAACGTTTCCTGTTGTAGAAAACGGAAGTTATGATGGTGTAGATGTTAATAATGTAAATAATTAATGTTAATAATAATTCAGCGTCCAGCCTAACAGCTCCAGGTCAGTGGCTCTGAGTTTTACTGGCCCATGTATATTTTTACTGGTCTGCGTAAAGAGAAAATTCTAATTTATCTTAAGTATTAAATATTAATATTAGTACACCCCATGCCCCCCTTTAGACTCACCCCTGCTTGGTGTAGGTATTACAAATAGAAAAATAGGATGGCTGCCATCAGCCTTCAGCAAGCTGTCTAATTTAAATCTCACATCGGAATAATTTAACAGTTCATCTTGTTTTTTATAATCAATTCATCCAAGTTAATCGGTGAATCTTTGTAGCTTTACTAGCAAGCCTAGTTAAAAATTGGTGCTAAATAACGAAGGAAGAATTTCAATCTCCAAAACTGAAGCAGAAACAAAAATTGTCTGTGCCGTAAAACAGGCCATAATGTTAGTCGGATAATCCTCTAGAACAAACAAGAAAGAGGTCCAGTTCAGTGCCTTTAATTAGCAGAGAGGAGGCCAAGTAGACACAGATGTCGAGCAAAGCTTCTGTGCTCCTACGTTTAACACTTATCGGTTTCCAAATGGAAGGAAGGGGAAAACTATCTATAGAGAGCAAAAACCTTTTTGTATTAGGGTGTAAACATGCCTTTAATGGTTTAAAGTTTGGCATTTAAAATAGGAGTCTATTCCTCGCTTTTGAGCCTGTCTCAAGTGGCTATTAGAGGAACCGCAGTTTTTGGCAGTAGCCATAGCTTTACATGTAGGTGAGCACACACAGTATAAAGAAATATGCCCAGACTCTGAAATAGACTCTATATGACGTGATTAACACATTTCATTTACATTTCAGCAGTTCATACTGTATGTGCTAAGCTTATATGTAATATTAAATATAGTTGTCTACACATTGAATGGAATTAGCTTTTTTTAAAGCAGTCCCTTTATGGGATAAGGTATCTTTTGGTAAAGTGTAAGCACTGGCAGACACAGGTTTCAGATTTTTAGAAAGAGAAATGTGGTGTAGTTAATGCAGCCTGCTGCGTGCTGGTTAGTAATGACTGGGGAGGACTGGAATGTACCGTAGCCTGGATGGGAGGAAACGACAAAGACATTCCAGTACATGGCTTCATTCGTTCCCCTTCCCACATTCCTTAAAGGTCAACTCACCCTGCGTCTGGGTACATGTGAAAAGTGTGCGTTCCCTGACCTATAATGTGCCTGTCTTTCGACATCAAAAATCGACACCTACAATCACAACACAGCACAGCAAAACTCAATTAGTCTGACGGTAAATTAATTCAGCATCAACAACTATGTACTGACTTTACTGATGAAGTGTGCAAAATATTCATAACATTTATACAGTTCAAACTTTCCATAGATAATGCTTTCCCCCCTTTCTGAAAGTCTGGCAGCTGGTCAGTGAATGCTGGGATCACACTGAGTTTGTAGGCTAATGTAGGACCTTTTTGCTGCATTACAGCAGATAAGTCAAGTAAACCTTTTTGGTTTTTGTTAAGTTAAATCAGAACGATATGGTGTTAACTGATCCTGGGAGAAAAGGAAAGATCAAGCGTGCTGCTGTTTGTTGATTTTGGAAGGGAAGTGAAGAGGAGACAGGGCCAGGCCTGAAGGTAAGGGGCCAGTGTCATGACCAGCTCTTCTGCCCATCTACTCAACGCCAACAGGATACAACGTGCGTGTGTGTGTATGTGTCATTAGTAGCGGGTTGTTTGAGGCTGAATCGATCACTCCCCCCTCTGGCAGTGCAGTCACATTACAACTGAGCTCTTGCTTCGTCACCCATTTAAGACTGAGGTCACCTTCACATGAGCACAGTGCATAACACAGTAATATCTGATACAAAGTCCAGTGCAGGGGATTCAGACCTGGAATGTTTAATTTATTAGAGAAACAGAGTACAGTTAGAGTTTATCATCTAGGCTCTGAGCTCATCACTGACTGCACTTGTGACACACATAAAAAATGGGGAGTATTATGCTGTCAGAGCTTACAGGTGTATGGTGGGATGGTGCAGTTTTACTAGCAAGCCTAGTTAGGGGTTCACAGAGCAGGCAGCGATGGAGGGCAGCAGTGGCACTGGCAGGTCAGAGAGAGATGGAAAGTTTTGGTGCTTAAATGTACAGCCAAACTGCAAGGGTTCAGCTGTATGAACATGTTTAGCTGTCAAGTTTTCCCAATGAATATTCTTCAATGAAAATCTTAAAGGGTATGATTATACTCACATCTAACCAGTAATGTTCATTATTGGTCTCCTCTAGAGTATTGGCAGGCGAAAACAACCCTTATTTATCTTATACTTACTGCAGGAGCTCCATTTATGTTATCTTTTTCTTATAAATGATTCAAATATTAAAAAATTGAGTCTGTCTTAGCCTTGCATAATCAGCTAACTTTTTTTAATAACTAAAAGGCATGAAAATGTGTTTTTATCTTATATCATTATCTGAGTTACAGGCCCTCACAGGGGTGGATGAACATTTAGCACTCTTTGGTTTGCATCAGATTTTCTAGAATTTCTGAGCCTCATAACTTTGTATTGCATGCACAGGAAAAAGCTTCAGTCTTTTCATGTTTATCAGGACTAGGGGAAGAGAGAAAGCATGAGTGACACAAGATATGACAGCTGGACGATGCTCAATTATAAGTTATAAAAATCAGTTATAAAAAACCCCATAAAAAGTGCAAATGAAATATTTTCAAATATACATCATGACACTGACTTTCACTCATTCATAAGTACAATAATTAAAAAAAAAAAATCATACTTTTTTAAAAACTCCCAGTAAACCTTTTATTCATTCTCTGCTTCAGCTACTCCCAGTGTTGTATCTTAAAACTTCTTTTTTGTGGATTTCTTTCTTACCTGAAAAAACTTGGGACGATATGTAAAGTAAAAACAGAATGCAATGGTTTTAGAAACTCAGAAACCCATATTTTATTCACAAGGGAACATAGAAAACATGCCAAAATGCTTGAACTGAGAGATTTGACTGTTTCATGGGAAATATTAGCTTATTTAGACTTTGATGGCAGCAGTACATCTCAAAAAGCTGGGACAGGTGGCAAGAATTGGCTGAAAAAGTAACTAACTGGTAAGAACATGTGCTATTTAAGTATAGGGACACACCGGGGACCCTCAAACACAGTATTAACATAGTATCTCTTACTGTATTTTTAATCAAAAACCTTAAACATAATGGATAACCAATAGGTTAATTTTAGTTATGTTATTTTTAGACTGATAAATCATCAGTAGAAACACAGCTGGGAAAATATAACTTCCGAATTGGTGAAATATGAAAACCATTTGGGGTTGTTTCATTTATGAACTGCTCATAAAAAATAAGTGCTTAAAAGCTGGATCCAACTAACATGGAACTTGTTTTGGATGAAGAGGCAGCAGACTTTAGAGTCTCCTGTCACGAGGTAGAGCTGTGAGTGATGGCGTGCAGGTGCAGTGACGCCTGTTTAGACAGCAGAGGGTACGAGAACCCCGTGAAAACGACGAGAGCCGCTCAATGGAACCGCTGAGGTGCAGTTTGCCGCTGAATGGCCGGCTGGAATGGCACTGGTTAGCGGTTCCTCCAGACTCAAATATCTAGCATTTTCACGTCTACTTTTATGTCTGCGCGCATTCGTTTCCTACCCCACCCGTTAGAGGTGCCGATGGATGAACTTTTAACTCGCTCAGAGCTCAGATGGGTGGACAGCAATAAATGGCTATGAGTGTAGTTTGCGATCTCCCAGAGAGTTTGGCTTTAAAGTGAAAGGATCTGGTTATGATCTCCCAATTCACGAAAGCTGTCTGTGTATCATTCCTCATTTAAGCCTTTAGTCTCTGTCAGCTCACCTAGCACCATTTATCAGGCTAGTAAAAGCAGACATTGTTTTGTTTTTTTAATTTCTAATGTCCCAGAGACAAGAAGATAACAATACCGCCTTTAGAGTATTAGCAGGCAAATCATAGTGCACGACCTGTCCGAAAGAAACTCATGACTCCTACGGGAGCTGTAGCAGGGTGGGTTTTTGGTTAACTTCCTGGTATTACGCGGCTGTGCTGTCCTTTGATGACAGAAAAATAAAGGAGAAATTACCACACCACTCCCTTAGAGTTTAACCCCCGACAACTACGACATACTGGCAGTTTGTTTCATACTAGCATATCAGTTCACGAAGCATAGTGTAACTGATACCTGCAGTCCAGGAGAAGCCTCCGCGCTGAGGCAGAGCCCACGGTTGGAGAACTGGGAGTGGTGGTGGGAGGGTCAGGAGAAACCCGGCACACAGTACGTTACCTACTGACTAACAGTGACCAGTCAGTAAGTGGACTGACTGACACGGCGGAGAGACACAACTCCAAAACCTCGAGCGGTGGAAGTGAGTGAAAGAAAAGCGGCATAGCGCGTTTGACCTCGGCTGTTGTAAGGTAAGCTTTCCTCCAGTTTAAACACAGATTTTAAGCTAGGTGCCTCTCGCGCGCTCCTCGGCAGTTGCTCTACTGTGCTAACTGTTAACTTTGGCTCTTTCCAACCTCACGGCTGCTGTACTGGTTACAGCTGTGATACCGGCCAGTCTCTGCTCAGTAATTCGTGACAGTGCAGCATGTTTGAGTGAGTGGGCTGAAAGTCCCCGTGTGCACCATATGAAGACAAGCTTTTCACCAAAACGCCATTGTAAAAAAAAATAAAAATAAAAATAATAATAATAATGTGGGGTTTAAACGCGACACAGCCTGTTTGTGACTCATTTTACGTCGTTAAACCATACACCAAGACTCGCAATACAGCAGCAGGAGTCGTATTAATAGACAGTGTGGTTAAAGCGGTTAAACGCGGTTATCTACCGCTGCTTCATTGTCTGTCATAAGTAATATATTAAATTGTGATGCATTTCAGCTAACCTAGCTAAGTGCTTAAGTTCAAAGTTTAAACATGCCCTGCTGGTGTGTTGCATATATACCGGTTTAAAGAATCAACATTACATGTGATTATTTTAAGTGTCAAGTGAAATCCAATACGAGACCCTTTTTTTTTTTTTGTTTGTTTGAATGAAGTTTGGTCTGCATTCTCTCCTCCGTCCTCCGTCATGCGTACACTTGTGTAGGCTTGTATTTTCTGGGAGCTGGCTCACTGGCGTTCATTGAAAAGCAGTGCTGTGGACTTTTAGCCACGTAGTGATTTGGCCTATAGCCCACAAAATCAAATCCTTCAGGTTGGGGTTGTCTTTTTATAGACGCGAGACAGACACAGATTAAGACAGCAACTACACGGCTCACGTCACAGGCTAGCACACCTGATGCAAGCAGAAGGTGCTCCGGTGTTAATCATTTTAAATGAACCATCTCTTAATGGAGCTTTAAGAGACCCTGTGTATGTGTCAGAAGACGCTGGACTTGTGCCGAGAGAGAGTGTCTGCAATTGAGGAAGGGCTTGGTCCACAAACCTGTCCACCTGTTAACTTGTGTGTGGTTTGGAAGAGGTAAACATAATGCAAGCACCTGGCATGTAATGCAGCCCACAGGTGCTGATGGCTGTCACGGGATGAGAAATCTGACCAAAAATACTGAGGCAGTGTTATAAAACCATTATGCTGTTTTTATCTTTGAGGAAATTGTGTTTTGGCATCTGATCTGCTGAGCTTCATCTTGATTATAAGAGAAGTTGATTACCCACCCAGCAGAAAGGGGAACGCAAAATAGCCTGTGCTGTAAGTTAAATAAATGCATGTGTAGACAGAAACCAGAAGATAGAAGTTCAGACAAGTGAGCCAGAATGGGCGGGATAGTCCTCCAGGGGTCAAGCTGCAGCAAGACCAGCTGACCAGTTCCTTCAAGGTCACCTGAAGGGCAGGGCCTCCCTGTGCTGACTAGCATGCTGCAGCTGCTCCTCAGCGTCCTGTTAAAGTGCTCTAAGTTTGATACAAGCTCCTTTTTTAAATGGCAGCTTGTAACTGGAGACGATTAGCCCCGAAGAAGGGTTGTACTGATCTGCAGGGTGGTCTAATTTGGGTAGCTCTTTAAAGAAAGTGCACATGGTGGAATTTTCAGCGTGCACAGTCTGCACAATTATTCTACTTGGCACAAAATGCACATCAGCGTGCTGCAGTCAATACATTTTTCCAAAGCAGTTCCACCAGTTGTATACTCTGTGGTCAGTCACGTTTAGCTGCAGTTTCCATTGGGCTGATGTGGGCAGAGGCTTGAAGGCAGTTCTTCCCTTAGCTCTGTACTGCCGGCTTTATTTTATTTTAATGGGCTGGGCTTTTGGAGATATTTTGGTTCATGGCTGAGGCCGAGTTGTGGTGAGAGTGAAGTTTGGTAGTTTAGGGTGAGGTTGGGCTCTTCACTGGATGTATTCCTACTTCTGCATGGCTGGGTGTTTTCACTTTCCCACTTTAAGCACAAACACAATGCAAGGGTTTGTGAAATGTGTGCATGCCTTTTTTAGATTATTAAGATAACGTTATGAGCTCAGTTTTTTTTCCCACACTCTCAGTTTTAATTTCACATCTAATTCTTACATGGATTCACATGAGAGGAAAAAGTTTACTGGTCCTGGCTTGTTCTTTGCCTGTTTGTTTATCTGATCAAATACTAGTCATGCTTCCCTCCACATTGTTATGGAAGTTAGTAGATTCCTTCATGCCAGATTTCTGCTGCCAGTTTCTGCAGTGCATTGCAGTGAGACCAGATGGGTTAGGAGATTGCCTGGAGCTGAATAAATATTGAATAAAAAAGAACACTCAGCGACTCCCACTTTGAGCATTTTGTTTTGGCGGATACAGGACCTGCTGTTGATGGGGTGAAGGTCTTCCCTGGCCTGTAGTTGCTCAGCTGCATGTCACTGCAAAGGGCACACCTGACAGCCTGGCTCTTAGCCAGATCACTACCATCCGCTATACAACAGGAAGAGAGAGTAACGCATGCATGTGTGAATGTGTGATGTGTGTTGATACACACTAATGTACTTAAACTTTGCTATAGGAAATACTCACTGTGTGTGTGTGTGTGTGTGTGTGTGTGTGGGGGGGGGGAGAGGAATTTCCCTTCATTAACCTCATAATGTCAACTTGTCCTGTCAGACTTGTTGATGTCAGCAAATGGGATGTGTGTTAAAGTTACGGTTGTCATGGTAAAGGGAGGGTAAACTTGAATGACAGAAATGTACAAAACATTGGGTTTGTGGGCGGGAATACTGTCAGGGCCCATGCACAAGTAATGCCTCCTAGGTTACTAAGCTGCCTGCATGTAATGAGGTTTGGGTTAAGTAAAAAAAAAAATTAAATTAACTGCCGTTTTTGTACTGAAGAAATTATTAGTTGAACTGTTGACTGTATATAAAAGATGGATGTAGACACAGTGGCATCTCCCATTGTTTTCTAGACTCTGCCCTTTGAAGCCTCAGAGTTAGCTGGCACGTTATTTATTTCTCAACTATAAGTGACCATGTTTGCACAGGAGGATGGAGTGCTTAGTTAACAACTAACGCTAGTGAGCTTGGTTGGTAAGCTGCGTCAATGAACAAATGCGATGTACTGACACATGATAATGATTAAAGTTAATGCTGCAGTTTAAAAAAACAAAACAAAACTGAAGCAGAAACTTCTTGCATGGGCTTTCACATACAGCATACCTAATATTTGTTAAATAATTTCATTAAAGATGCCAACACAGTCAAGAGACTCGATACTAATGGAAGTGAGCTCTAGTAGACGTTGGCTGTGTTGGTCATAGTATTAAACTAACTTTGAAAAAAAAAAACGCGTTACTTTCACCGCTGATGTTGGGCGTTTAACTCACTGAAGGCAACATTGTGAATGCCCACACATGAAGTTTTTTTTTCTTACATAAAGATATTATGGAGTCATCAATAAGAGGCAGTGGTGGTATATGTTTTTTTTTTTTGTCTTCTTGTGAGTAGTTATATAAGTTACAACTCATGTGTTGTCTATGTATTGTGATAGAAAACTGAAGAATAAGATGTGACAAGTCACAGATCACGGTAAGTGATAATTAAATAGAATGAGACTGAGTTAGCAGTGCTCGCAGTGTCTGGAGGTTGTTTAGATGACGGCTACCACTTGTTTGCATGTGGGAAATGAAATCAGACCTTGAAATGGGAAGGTGTTGGAGATGCTGGAGGGGAGCGACTATTGATCTACCCTTGGGCAGACAGACTGTTGGAGACAGAGAGCCCAATAACAGATTAACAACAGCCATGTGGGCTGGTACAGTCCATTTCTATGGTTGTAGATTTTCTACATGCAGAATAAACTTTTTTGTTTCTCATTTCACCACGACTGATTTCTGGATAAGCAATCTGTGAACAACTAGCAATGACTGTGTGCTTGTTTCTTAAAGGTTCAGATTTCAAAGATTTGAAATAACAGAATTGCTGTAAAAGCTGAAGTGACTGATTGATAGATTTATTTTTTGTTAATGCAGAAACTTTGTGTAGTTGAAGCACTGGATTAAAGAAAGTATTCAAAAGAATTCAGTTAAAGTTGAAGGACCAAAAGAAGGTGTAGATCAAAGTCATTTGATTTTTTTTCCCCAGTTGTTCCTGGTTTTTTGAATAAACTTGGAAGCCGATGTCATTGTAAGCATCAAAAGCATTGCAAATACAATTTTCATGAACACTGACATTTGCATGTTAGAACAGCTCAGGTTTTTCATGTCATTTACAGGTTAAGACCTTAAAGTTGACCTGTGATGCTATTCCTGGCATGGGTACTATAAAAGTACTAAATGCTCTTGTTAAACACAAACAGCATTTCAAACAATGAGGTCTGCATGTGCACAAGCATTACCTGCGGGGCCCAAAGCATAAACTCGGACAGATTTCTTTCTACTCTTGGCTCTGTGTGATGAGAACAGGTATCCTTATATGGTCAAATGGCAAATGGCCTGTATTTGTATAGTATTTACTAGTCCCTAAGGACCCCAAAGCGCTTTACACATTCAGTCATCCACCCATTCACACACTGGTGATGCCAAGCTACATTGTAGCCACAGCCACCCTGGGGCACACTGACAGAGGCGAGGCTGCCAGACACTGGCACCACCGGGCCCTCTGACCACCACCAGTAGGCAACGGGTGAAGTGTCTTGCCCAAGGACACAACGACTGAGACTGTCCAAGCCAGGGCTCGAACCGGCAACCTTCCGATTATAAGACGAACTCTTGAGCCACAGTAAATGCCACTTGCTGTTAAAATGGACAAAAAAGAAGTTGTAATGTTTGTTCAAAAGAAAATTGGCTGAAAAACTGGATGTCTGCACACACCAAAGTTCTCCACTAAACATCTTGTATCAGTGAAAGCACAGAATCACAGTTAATGTCATTTACCTTTGTCACAGAATGATCTCGATGAAAAGATGTCAAATAGACAGGTAAGACTGCAGTAATTCATGACTTTTGTCTAATTCTTCATCTCTTTAACAAAATCATTTACATAAAAGTGCTTAGACTCAGTA